CACACACACACACACACACACACATACACACACATCTCTTTGATAAGAACAACAAATACAAAAATGAGCATCATTTTGAACAACATAGCTAGGGTTGATGAGGTTATTTATTGTTAGAAAGATAAGTTTCATCAATTATTTTGCAAAGTCAATGGAGGCAGTATTATCCACATGCTGTCAGGAGGGCCTGGTGACTGTGCGTCCTGTGATAGTGTTCATGTGGTGCTCGGCCTGGCTGGGCTGAGTGTCTATACATTGCCCTGGGCAGCTCTTCCTGAGGTGTTGGTGCAGAGTTTCTTCCCTGTTATCTCTGTTGGGATGGGCTGGGGAGGAAGAATTGGAGCTCCCTGCACAATAACTAACAACTGCTTTACCCACTACTTTGTACCACAATGAAGATCTTAAAGCCAGTCTATTCAGACCTGCTCTAAGCAGTGAGGTCCTTCCTGATGTGAAGGCTTGAGGGGATCTCATCACCATCAGTGTAGTACTGAGGTCCAGTGTGTGCCACTATAAGCTACCCTACTATTGTGCCAAAAGGTGGCATGCTAGAAGCAGGCATGGTGCCAATAGAGCTAGGTCTAGAAGCCATCCAAGGCTTTGTCCTCTTTCTGGATGCCTGACAAGGAAGACTTCACAGGGAACACAGGTGGATGTAAACACAGCAGTAACTGAGCTGCCTTCACTGCCCTGGAGAGCCACAGCCATGCAAACGGGATAGTTGGAGTACAGAAGCGAGTCTAGCATCAGGATTTCATGGGGAGGTGGTGTCTATAAAGTCTTTAAAGAGCTGTCACTTTGGCTTTTTGGAAGAGGCTGTCTGCTCCTTGCCCTGTGTTTCATCAGTTTCATGCCCCTTCAGCGATGACCATTCCTAGGTCCACCCAGAACCACAGAACATACACCTTTCTCCTCATGTATTATAATTATTGAATGAAAAAGAAAAAAAAGAACATTCTCAAGGACCTTAATTTGTAAAGCCCACATTAAGATGAGGCAAAGGAATCATCAGAAATAAAGTGACCCCACAAAATCAGCTGATGCCTTTATCTTTTACTCCAGCTCTTTTAGTATAGTATACATGAAAGATGCTTTAGAGAAGAGTTTGGAAAAAATAATGTCTCCCCTTATACAAATTCCTCCACCAATGGTAGATAAACCTTTTTTTTCTCCCCCTTACTAATGTAGGACTATATTTTTATAGAACAGTTTACAAAATGAGCTTGAGGATACTAAGAGGTGAGCGAGACATACCTATAGTCCCTCCCCTAATAGTCTTTCTATCTTGAGTCCTCACATTCCTGACAGCAAGCTATTTGAACTAATCATTAATTAAATCATTTTAGAAAATGCTACATTTGTCCTTTTCAAAATCCTCTTCAAAACCCACTTGAAGTCACTTATAACTAAGAAAAACACAGTGACAATAAATACAAGATTATTAATCTATGAAGAAAGACAAAAATGAAGGGGTGGAAAATCAAGCTTTCAATTAAAAAAGAAAAGACATTTATCTAGTTCCATTTTCCAAGGAAATTTGAATAAAGGACAAAAAGCATTTAAACGTGAGAAGTCACAGCAGAATGCCTCCTGGTCTAACACTATCCTTCTAACAGGGACCCAGTGGCTTTAAGGGTACCAAGTACTGCTCTATGACAGATTCCAAAAGAATTTAAAAGTAATTTCTACAGTACAGTTTAAACTTGAATTATAAAATTTTAATGTAACATAGCATAAACTCTACAAACAAAAGATTTTGCCTTAACTATACACAATTTTAAGAAAATATTATTCCCAGATAATAACATGTACAGGCTATATATGAAGAAAATTATTTAAATAATCTCCACTAGGGTTTAAAACAATACTTTATCCTTCTAGAACCTTGCTGTTGCTTAAAGACATCTATATTTCCAAGAAGTAAATCTGGCTGGCTGTTTTGGGGTCGAGGGCTCTGAGAGCAAGCAGAAATGCTGCTGTGGTAGGACTGCCTGCATGTCTAAAATTAGAACTCACCTTCTTCTTTCCCATTGCCTATATTCCTTTCAGAGAGCTCTGATGATTAAGTAGTAAGGAATTGTGGTACTACCTACCACCTGCTCTTCAGGAGAAAGATGGACAATCTCCTTCCATGTGATTTAATGCCTCTGACAATCTGCTGGAGGGTCAGCTAAGACTTGGTGCCAACTCCATGGTATGCAACAACATTCCTTTCTCCTTTCCTAAGTTCCTAAGTTACAGAAGACTAAAAGAATTTCTGGGTGGTGCAAATGGTTAAATACTTGGCCACTGACTGAAAGGATGGTCTACCCTAGAAGTCAGAGTCATTAAAAAACTCAAGAACTGTGGTTCTACTCTGATTCATATGGGGTCACCAAGAATCAGAATTGACTTGATAACAATTGTAATTGTAATTGGCTGTGGCCTACATGCCAACAGCATAGTGGTTTTTAAGTTCCTGTCCAGCCTCATAAACTCATAATTTGGTCTAAGAGGTTTTGGCCAGTAGATGTATTTAAAGAACTCTTGTGACTAACAGAGTATATTGTTGATGCACAGGGTTAGGAGTTCATTGTAATCATACCCCCCTCATCTCACATGCTGTTTAGAGAACGATGAATCTGACCTCACAGAAGAGAATCTCTCTTCTCAAGCAGTGTGGGTCAGGGTGTGTTAGCACAGTGCAGGCACCACCAGGCCCAATGATTCACCCTGCTGCAGGATGAAGGTGAGGAGTTTGGTCTCTATCAGGTAGTGAGACTCCTGGTCATGGCACAACTGTCATCATAGGGAGAGAAGGGAAAGAGGTGATGCTGACATCACTCTGCCTCTTTTGGAAGGTTCTTTTCCATTACAACGGATTCTTTTTATTCTTGGTCTGCTTCACATCCTCTCTCCCTGTCTCCCATCTTTCTTCTTAAACTTGGCAGGAAGCATGAGATAGAGAAAATATTTGCATAGCCAATTTTGGAAATTTCTGGTTTGCTGTTTCAACAGTTGAAAATTTTAAAACAAACAGGATTTGGCTTTTTGCTTCCTTGACTTCTTGTGCATGTGAGTCTGGTTTCTGAATGCAGGTTTAACTAAACCTTTGATGACTGGTGTCTTGAGTGTAAGAAGCATGAAGAGAAGCCAGTATCTATGCTTAAAGCAATACTTTCTGTGATACCACAGTTTGGGGGGCAAAGCTAGACATAATGAATCAATCCCAAGAGCTGCCACAAACCCTTCTGATGACAGAATTTTCTTTTTATCCTGAGTAAAAAAGAAACCTCAGTTATGAGAAACATGAATGTTAGTAGTTACCACATATTTAAAGTATGTTGAGTGTGCAAAGTAAAACTTTTCTTAAATACCATATTTAGTAAATAATTTGAAGGAACCACTTACGCAAAACTTGAATAAATTACAGAAAATCTACATGCTGTGGAATAGTTTTTAAAAAAGAGTAATTACTCATAGGAAATACTCAATTATTTTATTATAATTATTTAAACAAGTTAAAAAAAATCTCTTCCCCTTCCCCCACTGTTGCTGTTCTTGTTAGGGAAGAAGCATCCTTTCTGGATGAGAACTAAGCTGGCTCCAATGATGAGATGGTCTACCTCCTGCTCTGAGAATACAGTTGTGGCAAAGTGGGCTGCTTTCTCTTTTCTTTCTCAGGAGTATTAGAGGCTATGCTAAGGCTCTCACAGGTTTTTAGGTACTTTTTTTTACTGAGGATTTCACCCATCTTATCCATATTTCTTGGAAACAAGGTTCTTCCTTAGGGAGGTGGGATTTTAGTCCTCAGTGTCCTTGGCCAAGGACAGATTCTCCAGAGGTAATCTTAGGAGGCAGAGGATGCATATTGCTGCTCAAAACAGGATAGCTAAGGACACATTTTTTTTTTCCTCAAGAAGTATAAGAGGCACCAAAAAGGGGACCGCTCAGGAATAGGCTGCTCCCTCGGTGGAGCCACAGGCGGGGTCCTCTAGCCTGTAGAGGTGGCAGATTCCGGCTAACCCGGGCTGATGGAGGGATATGGGTGCTTGCTTTCCCCATCTTCCCTTAGCCCTTTCCTTTGGAAAAAGGGATGGGCAGGTCTCCAAGCATCCTAGTGGGGCTTACACAGTGACTAAAGAGACCATTCCTTGCCTCATTCTTTAGGCACGGAGCTCTTCCTGGGGTCCCTCCAGTGACAATTCATTTTGGAAGTTGTCTTCAAAGGAAAAATGCGGGCAGGCTGTCATATCGGCTCATTTATGGGAAACTCAAACTTGCAAATTAAGAACCTTGCTTTTAGATTTCAAGGTATCCTTGGGAAACTTCCTGCCCCTGGAGTTTCCAACGTTGGAGCGGCCACTACACCTCACCACACTTTGCGAGGTAGGTTGTATGGTACTCAATCTGCAATGGCTGCGGCTTGGATGGCAGTGTGAATGTTGCTTAGCCCGGTGGCTGTGGGAGGTTTAGTTTATGAGATGGGGCTGTATATTCCTAAAGGGACACAGGAACCAACACAGCTTCCAAAGGCAGCCGATGGCCACCTTTTTGTAAAACAGCCAGGAAGGACAGGGAAGCCACAGCAGGGCCTTTGCTGCAGTCCTCGGTGTTGGTTTCTAAACCTGGACGATACCAACTACACGTAAACCACGGCTTCATGGTCAGTCACTGGGTTAGGAAAAACAAAGCAAAACGGAAAGCATGTAAAACACCCCCTTCTAAAAACAAAGGGCTGCAAATTCTTTATTTCTCTTATAGAGGAACAAAAATACTCTGGCAATGGCTATTGAGTTTCCACAGGTACGAGGCAGAGGCTGGACTAGCACATCTCACTTCCAACAATATGACTTGTTTCCTATCCGTCTACTACCTGAGTGGCGTCAGTGTAGGTTCAGGCACCATTAGGAACGTTTGACCAGACACGCACACGGCACTGACAGCTAAGTCACGTTTCTTCTGGCTGACACCGACACAAAGAAACAGGAGTCCTGGGGGCTTTGAGCCCAGCCCTCCACTCACTGCAGGGGCCCTCGTGCCTCGTGCCGCCGTCTCAGCTCCTCGCGGTAGCAGTATGAGCAGTAGTGCTCCGTCTCCACGCGGCCGTAGAAGGCGCAGTTCTCCCGCTGGCAGCGCTGCTGGGCTGGCCCAGCCCCGCCGCAACCGTCCTCACCGTTCGACCAGGAGGCCGGGGCCTCCACGTCTGCGAACTCCAGACCTTCGCGCGGGTCGCAAGCGGCAGCAAACCCATTGGTGTAAGTCTGTGACTTGTGCTCAGTGCCTGCGCTCGTGGCGCTGGGCAAGGGTCTCGGCACAGCGCGCGCCAAAGACTCCACGGTGTTGACAGTGCGCAGGGTGGCGGCGCGCGCAGGGCTGTAGCTCTGCGAAGACAGTGAGCGGTTCTGCTGTGGGTACGTGGCGCACGGGCGGAGCACGCCCACGGCTGGCGCACACACCGCCTCATCGCCCCTCGTTCCCGCCACCTGCACGTGGATAACGCTCTGGCGTGCCAGCGGAGGGCTGCGGCCCTGGCACGACCCTCCCGCCACCCCACGCCGCCCACCACTGGCTGGGGAAGGCGTGCCGCTGGTACTCCCACGCATTGCCCGCGCGCCCGCTGTGGGCCCTGGGCTTGGCCTCTCCTTGAACTTGAGCACCAGCTGCGTAGGGTGCCCAGCTGCCGGGCCTGGCGAGGAGCGCTCGGAGCCCGGGCAGCCCTCGGCCTCGGGCCTCCGTGCCAGTCGCTTGGCCATGGCTGCATCAGCGTCCCGGCGGCGCTGCTCCTGCTCGGCGCTGAAGCGCTCTTGCGCGCTCGTCAAGTAGTAGCCAATCATCTCCTCATGGAACTGGTGGCGGTGGCTGGTGAGCAGCAGACCAGCGAAGATGAACTTGCGCTCGCCTTGCATGGCCGCACGCAGGATGTTGAGGCTTAGCTTCACGTCTGTGCTGTACTTCCAGGAGTCCCCGCGCGTCCCACCCTTGTCGGCCGGTGACATGCCCGCTGCCTTGTCCGTGGGTGACGGCGTGGTCTTTTCCATTGGCCATGTGTTCACCAACGTGCCGGACTCCTCCTTGCTGCCCTTGCGAGCCTTGGCCTTCTTCTCCTTGCCGCGGTCCGGAGGGTCACCATTTTTGCAATTGGCGGAGTTGGAGCGGCCCATCTTTCCATGGACCAGCCCGCCCAGCCCGCCCATGTTTTTCTTAAGCTTGATGCCCAGTGTCTTGCTGAAGCTGCCCAGCTTGTTGGCTACGGAGTCTGCGCGGGTCTTGTCCTTTTCCTTGCGCTGTTTATCCTTCTCTTTGTCCTTGCTGTTCTTGCCATTGTTGCTGTTGGAGTTGCTGCACACCGAGTCGCGATCTGAGTCCAGTGAGTCGGCCAGGGACTGTACATCCTCTCCTGCTGAGGCTGTTGGAGACTCTGGTTGTGCCAGCGGGGCCTGTGTGGGCAGAGATGGTTGAGTTCAAAGATCTCCCCCACGTGGGTCCTTCACAGAACTGACCTTATGGTCTCACTTCCCTAACCCTAATTGCTTCTCTGCTTCTTGCAAGTCATGGCTATGCTGAGGGGAAGGAACAGCCAGGAGCTAACACAAGTCTGCTGCAGTAGTAAAAATAATTTTGAGGAAGCCTTCTAGGTGCTTCTAATCTGCTCTTAGTCATGTGAACTGGGCCTGTGCCATTAGGTAATGGAGTGCGTCTGTCTCTTTCTCCACCAACCCTCCTTTGCTAGTTGCCTGGAACCTGCTTGGAACCAGGGTGGGTGAGCTAGGGTATTGGTGTTAAATTTGAGGCCTTACCCCTGATTGAGAGAAAGGACCATGGCCGGGTGCTAGACTTCCAGCCCTGGTAAGGGTTCAGCATGCTCAGTCTTGGGCTGGCCTCTATGCAGGAATCAGCCTTCAGGTGAGGAGGTTCCCCCTCCACATGGTGTATATCTTACAAAGGTGTATCTCTCTGCTCATTCCAGGCAGGGGATAGAAACCTTGTCCTTAGAACCTTCTTAGCTGCTAATAGACCTTCATTTCAGCACTGATCAATGAGCTCACCAATTCTTTCACAGGCAGGCAATGTTGAGTGCTCACTTGAGAAGGATTATGAAACAGGGGCTGAGATCAGCAAGAAAGAAGTTCCTATTGCCAGAAAAGGGCTCCCTGGGGCTGAACAACTGTTCAGGGAAGAACAACTGTGTTCAGGGGGAAAACTGTTAGGAAAGACCCACTCTCACTATATGCCAGCTGCAGGAGGGCAAGACTGTTTGGGAAATGTAGTGAAGACAAAGTAGGAGAGAGATTCTGACCAAGTGCCCCAGGAGTCAGAACAGGAACTCTACCAGCTGCTTGATCTGTTGTACTTAAGCCTTCATGCCTGAATGAGCTTCCTTCCCCCATCTCCAGTGGGTTGGGGGGAGTCTGGGAGGGAACCTGCTACTCTCCTGTCTACTTTGGACATCTGTTCACCTTCTAGCCTCCGTTCTCAAGCCTGTGCAGGTCTAAAGGAGAGTTTTACCTGTTAGGTCATCCAGAAACAAGGGCAGGCCAAGCCCTGCTTCCCTGGACACAATGTCTTCCTCTTGAGCTTATATTTTCTTGGGCTGGGAAAGGTCTTCTAGTGTCTAACAAGATCAAACATGGACACTAGTGGGAGAAGCACAGGGAGTGTGCTGGGAAGTTGGGAGGTGTGGAGGGGTTCCTGCCAGGGTTGTCCATGTGAAGCCTGCAGCTGGCATGGAGGCCACTAAGGCTGTGTGTCAGCCTGAGTAGGAGCTGTCATCACACTCACTGATATGCTATAGATAAAACAACTGCCAGGCATTCAGTCAGGCTGGACCCAGGTGCCAGGCTCAGCACCACCTGGCTGTGTGATCTCGAGCCTTGATCTCCTTATCAGTAAAATGGGGACATCAGTATCTGCCTCACAGAGACTTAGGAATACTGACTAAAAACTGAAATATGGGACTCAGAGCAGTGCTGAGCACAAAAGACACTGACATACAGGTATGCATCAATTACTTTACTCCTGCCACCCCTTTAATCCTCATTATAGTTTACTTTGGAGTCCCTGGATGATCAACTTAATTTGACCTGATAATCATAAGGTCAGACTTTGGAGACAAGCAGATGTATCTTAGAAGGATGGCCTGGCAGTCTACTTAGGAAAAATTAGCATGGAAAACATTATAGGGTGTAGTTCCACTTTTACATGTGGTGCCACCAGTTGGAGTTGATAATGGGTACAGGCCACTGTAACCTGGAGTTGGCAATGACAAATTATTTGCAAATGTTTCTTCAGCTCCATCTCTCTCCCTGTCAGTCACATGGTTGAAGGGGACTCATCTCTGTTTGACAGTGTAGATTCTGCTCACTGTCTGTTCAGCTCTACCAAAGGGGGCGTGGGCAGAGGAGGAGCTGTGGCTTTCTCATGAGTCACCCACGGTTTTTAAGTAATTCTGTTCACAGCACCACGTCATGTTCTGATTTTCCAAGAGATAGCCTGTGTTGTGACTTGCCTACAGTTTGTTTTCTGAGTGGGCATGTTTATTTCTTCTTTTTTTGTTGAAAATAAGGAGAAGAAACTTTCTGAACTGGAGCACATTTATGTGTGCACTTCTACATGTACTAACATGTAGGTGTGCATATACATATACACGTGTATTAAAGCACTCATGCATGCCTGTGTATACGTGCCTGCACATGTGCACACACAAGGCACCAGGAAAAACTGGAGGGGCTTCCAAGCAAAACACAGCAGCCTGGATGATGGGGATGGGTATGTGTGGGGCACAACTGGAACCTGTCAGATGATGATAGGCTTTGTACCCATCACTGGGCAGGATACTTCATTGCAGTCTTACCCGAGTTTCAGAGTGGATCCGGATCCATGTCACATTCATGTAGTTGTGTAGAAGGTTCAGCTTGGCCTCCAGTGACAATATCAGGCTGGCAAAAGAAAGCACATGTGTGAAAAGGGCCTGAGCTGAACTGTGCCTGTCCCCTGGCAGATGTCCTGAGGTGGAAACTCAGCTTTCCTCAGGAGGCCTACAGCCCTGCCAACCCTCCCGGACTATAGGGTTTGGTTGAAGGCAGATGAAAGGACACTAGGCATGGGATGCAGGAGAGCCTTACTGAGCCAGCCGGGCGTTGTCATTGTCATCCTTTCCCCACTCCCATTCCTTCCCAGGGTCCACTGCAAAGTGCAGAGGCAGCAGCTTGTGTTCCGAGTCCGTGAGGGGGATCACAGCTGGAAGAGGAGAGAGACACAGTACAGTGTTGCTCATGGCTCCCCAGAGAAGAGAGGCAACAGCATCCTTATGCTGAGTATTGGCTGTGAGTAAATGGAATGGTGATACACAAGAAGCCAGTAAGAGCATTTAAATTGTAATCTTCTAAATATATCACTGATACTTTGATAAGGCTAGAAATATTTATTGGGGACATCACGGGCAGACAGAGCCATCAACATGGACTCAGCTAACATTTTCAGTCTGAATTGGGCATCAGGGCAGGATAAAGCAACTGCGCATCTGCCATTCTGAGGAAAGTAGCCCAGGTGGTAAGTGTGCTATGGGAAGTTATCTGGCAAGCTTTAGGGTGTTATGGCTGTGTGCACAAGAGGACCAGGTGTACAGATCAGATAAAGAGGATGCCTGCTCAGGACTAGCCTTGGACTTCCTTGGGCAGGGCTGATCCAAGGAATGTGACTTGGGTAGGCTCTGAGCCCCAGGCTTTTAATGTGCATAGGTGAGCCCACCTGGGCCTTTTCCACTTGGAGCTGCAGTCTGTGCTGGTGACAGAGGATAAGCAGGTAAAGATGCACCTGGTAATGTGCCAGATGGTGATGAGAACAGGCAAAAGCACTTCTGGATTGATGGGGAGGGTGCAGCATTTCTATCGGGATCATGGGAACCTTTGAAGTGGAAACATATGAGACTGAAGTGAAGGATGACTGAGCATTTCAGGGAGAGAGTAATTAATCCTGAAATATAGAATGAAATGCACCATTACCAACTTTTCTAGAACCCCACAGGAAATCTTGGCCTATCTCAGCCTGGGAAAATGAGGTGTGTGCCAGGTCTTGTAGGAACCCGTAAAACAGCAGCCCATCTTAACAGCAGGTGGCAGAAATGTCTTCTCTGGGGGCTTTATCTTCTGGCAGACCCCTTGAAGAACCATACCTCACTGGGAAGCAGTCAGTGCCTCCACCAGATCTCCCTGTTCCCTCCTGGAGAAGAGCTTCTTGGCTTTCCTTCTTTTTGCTCATGGGGACAGCCCGCCCAGAGGCTGATGTGGGCACTACTGTGTGTGGTCTGGGAGAAACATGGTACCAGGCTGCCTTCACACGCAGGACGTGGGTTGGAGACTGAAACAGGACTTGCTTGGCAACTTGTGAGGGTCAGTATGAGTGGTACCCAGTTTCCAGCCCAGTTTTTTCCCAGTTCCAATGCCATGAACCCAGCTTGGCCCCAGCTCCGCCCTGGCCTATTCCTCATATTGCTAGCCTTTGGATGGAATCCCATGCCATTCCACACAAGGCTACTTGCCTTGGGTTCTGAAAGCCTGGATTCCAGGGCAGGTGGCCTTCAGGCTCTATGCTGATGAACAGGCCTAACGTGTTTGCAGTCCATTCCTTACTCTGAACATCTCATCCCAACCCTTTTCCAGGCAGGGAAGCTCCCTTTCCAGTGGGGAGAGGGGCTTTTTTCTGGCCATCCCCATGAAGCAAGCACAAGCTGGGTGTTGTTTCCTTTGACTCATTGCATGGGTGCCATGGCAAAAAAAAAAAAATAAGAGTTGCTGTAATGTGCTGTTGAGCCAGAACCAACTCATAGGTGACCCTCTAGAGAGTTTTTAGAGGCATGAAGCTGCATGGGAGATTACCTATCCTTATTTTGTGGAGCAGCTGGAGGATTCAAACCACGTGCCTTTGAGATTGCTGTGCAGCTTCTTATCACTAGGCTACCAGTAATTTTTGTGTAACACTGAGCCAGAAATGACTCGTAGCTGACCTGCTGATGGATTTTCAGAGGCAGGAAGTCACATGGTAGGAAATCGCTCAGCTGTCTCCTGAAGAAGAACTGGTGGATTCAAACTGCATGCCTTTGGGTTGCCAGCACATCTCCACTAGAGAATTCTGTTAATACTTATTTTTCACTTAAGAAATTGGGGGGGGGGGGATTACTGGTTCAGTGCTGCCCCTCTGCCCCTCCCGTGATGCTAAAGAGGAAACCTGGGCTCCAGCAAATGTAAGTCACAGCATATACCAGAGGAACAGACTTGCTGACCAAAGGACAGATACCATGTTTTGTTCTGTTTGGAGACAGCAATACAGTGCTACAGTTTGTGTGGTCAAGAGGTGGCTTAGCTTGCCTTGATCACAGCGTACCAGGTTCTGCGTGGACATGGTCAAGGTACAAAGTTGCCTCCCTAGAGCTGAGCTGCAGGAGGAACATTTGTGGTGAGGATCTGATGGCTGCCTGGAGCCGTTAAGTCTCTTAAGCCACCATATCCACAGAAAGCAGAAGGGCCTTTTCAGACCTGGCAGAGCAGCCTCAGCACTCAGAGTGCTAGGTGGCAGCACTTGTTCCAGAACCTTGCTAGAAGGCCAAACTGGAGTATCAAGAAAGGACCAGAAAACAGCATCTTCAATAAACATCCCCTGCAGTTCTTCTAGGAGCACTGATAGTATAGTGCATTATGTGTTAGCCTGCTAGCTGAAAAGTCAGTGGTTCAAATCCCCTAGCTGCTCTGTGAGAGAAAGATAGGTCAGTCTATTCCCATTAAGATTTACAGCCTCAGAACCCCTCTCCCCCTTTTTTGTAGATCTTAAGATCCCAGTATGCCACCAATGATTTACAGTTACTAATAGGTGTGTCAGATATGGTGAGCGTGGCTCATGGAGGGCAAGGTTCAGATCCATTGTTTGTTCAATGTGTGTCACAGTTGACAGCACCTAACAACACTGATAGCAAGGCTGGTGGGGGTTTAGAGAGAGGTGACAGTGAGCCCCACAGAGCATACTACTTTATAACACATGGGTTACCATGAGTTGGAATCAGCTGGTGGGTAGTTTCTAACATCAGGCACGTTTAAAAAAAAAAGTTGTTCTAGGGCAGTGATTTGTATAAGAAGCCCCCCTGGGTGTAATTTAAGAGATTCAGGTATAACCACTTGCCAAAGATCCAGGGTCCCTTCTTGCAGTGCAGTTGCTGTTGGGATGTGCTGTGTAGTACAGAACCACGGATGTGAACAGAAGTTAATGTCGAGCTGCTGGTGATGTGACTGAGGGTGGTGGGCCTTCTGCACCTGTTCCATTCTCCATCTCAAAGGCCTGTGGGAGGTGATGGAGCTGCAGGAAGGCTGGGCAGACCCTCGAAGAGGGAGGAGCTCTTCTGCCTCACCCAAAGGAAGAGCTGCTTGCCAATCAGGAAAGCTTGTTTCAGAATTGATTTGACAGTGAAATGGCCTTCTGATGTCTTAAGCCACTATGGTTTTATGTGTTCTAGAGAAACTATGGGAAATTGCTTTTCTTTTTAAAAAAATGTTGTGTGTGATTCTTAAGGTGCCACAAATGATTTGTTTTGTACTTGGCATCAGAATTTGGGAATCTCAGCCTCTGTGGCTGGACGTGTGCTACCCACTGCTGAGTAGGAGGTGATACCTCATCTAAAAGGATTAAAGGTTGTGTTAACCTCTTATCCTGTATCTTAATGGACTGGAGGCTGGGTATGGGGATAAGGTTGTGGAGGCATACCTGCTCATTCCTGAAGACATTCAAGGGCTTACAAAAATACCACTTCCTACAGAATGGGCCAGTGGTGGTCTAGTGGTAGAATTCTTGCCTTTTACGCAAGAGACCAGTTAACACCCATAGTAATAGCAGCACAGTTTGATGGGCAGAGGGAGGGGATACAGTTTTCTAATTGCGGACTTTTCAGACTAACACAGACTAGGGAGAAAGGCTGGTGGTATCTGTTTCTTCTGTATTTCTGAAGATCACTTCTTGAAGACTATACTAATCACAAAGTTTTGATCTGTGAATACATAGTGGGGAGGATGCAGGACCAGGAATGTTTTGTTTTGTTCTGTTGTACAGGGATCAATCTTAGTCAGATGGCATTAGAAGGGACCTAGCTCTGTACCAGCTGAGCCCAGGGAGACCTCAGAAACAGGCCCTTCTGAACAGTGGGTGCTTTGGATGCTTCTGCCTCTTTACTCATTTATCATTCCCTTCTGAAAGCTTGACTTTGTCCAGTGTCCAGTTTAACAGTATTATCAGACTGCTATCTGATTACTACTGTCTATAGCAGAAAATGCTTTTCAAACTAAGCCTGGAGATTTTTTTTTCTCCCCTGCCTAGAAAGGGCTTTCCCTGTCTGTTAAGCAGACCAGACACCTTATCAGACTAGGCTAGATGTGTTGCATTAGTTATTTGCTAAAATGGAGTGTCAGTTTCTGGTTTTTGCTAAAGATATACAATACTTGAAGAGCATTGCTCCCACCTTCATAGAAATATTACAAAAACCAGGTAACATGTGAACTCACACCTTTAACCCAGCAGAGAACTGAAGTCACAGTACATCACACTAACCTGAAATCTAAGGATAAACATGTGCCTGTAAATGCAGATTGATGTGATTACTGGCTGACTTGGGCAGACTTTGCCTAACATCATTAAGAACTCTGCAGTAGAGATTGTTAATAAATGGACAAACAAAATATGTTGGATTGTGAAGAAATACAGAAGTCCTGGGGGTCACAGTTAGAAAGGGAATTCACACTCACTTGTAGACTTCTTTTCATTGACCTATGTGTTTACCCAAATGACCAGCAAGAATATAGAGAACCTGTCCTGCACAGATTTTCTTTTTCCCTAACAAGTTGTGGCTGACATTGAGAAGAATGGGAATCACAGGGCACTTGATTGTGCTCATGCAGAACCTTTATCTGGACCGGGAGGCTGTTGTGTGAATGGAGCAGGGGAGTACTAGATGATTTGGAATTAGGAAGGTAGGGTGCCAGGGTTGTATTCTCTCTATATAACTATTCAATCTGTATGCTGAATAACTTATTCAAGAAGCTGACTCTATGAGGAGGAGTGTGGCATCAGGTTTGGGGGAGACTCATCAGTAGCTTGCATTATGCAGATGACACAACCTTACTTGCTGAAAGTGAGGAGGACATGAGGCATTTGTTGCAGAAGAGCAAGGAATGCAACCTTCACTATGGATTACATCTCAATGT